AAACTATGTTTAAACCCATAATTTCTAGTGTGTATCTACAATTTTTGTCCAGCGGAATATTCCGACTAAAGGGCTAAATAGGCTAAATATGTTATACAAATAGATTTTTAGATCGATTAAGAACAATTCTGTTTGGTTCAATTATTCATTGGCAAATTTTAACTTTCTAGATTCTACCTTACAAGTCAAGTGCTTGGCAGGGGTAATGACGAAAGAGATCTATTTACTCCGTATTTCTTATTTTTGGACGCCGTAATTTTTATAACGTTAGTTATGATATTGAGTTTTATAAATTATAATAACTAAAATACTAAATTAAAAATAAGACTGCCAAAATCAAACCGATATTGTCGGTTCCGAAATCAGAGTTGAACCCCATATGTTATGTAAAGTTCGAGCTCCCTCTTGCCTGTTTCTCGAACTGGGAATCGACATTCGGAGTTGTCAAGCTATATACATCTAGCCATAACTTTAGTACAATTGCTTGAGTATGTAAATGTAATGCTGTTGGTTATTTTTTTTGTAGTGCAACTTTAAAGCCTTATGTAGGCTATAGAGCATAGTATCTTTAAGCATACGTTACAATTGCTTCATACGAAGTATTTGAATATATCAACTATATACGAAGTATGTTTTAAGGTTTTAGTGGAGAGACATGATTGTGCTTAGCTTGTCATGATTAATTGATTTCCTTGTTAGGATATTAATAAGAATGCATTGAATCTTGAAAGCTCTATTTATTTGGTAAAATATAGGTAAAATAGTTATTTCATAATGAGCACTACAGACCGGACTTGGATGTATGAAAGAAGAACAGAGCGTGGCCATATTAACCCCATATTTGTGAATGGATTGAAGACTTTCATTGACTTTGCAACCAGTAAGCCAGATTTCATGTCTGGAAATAAAATCAGGTGCCCCTGTACCAAGTGCCACAATACTAATTTTCAAGATGTTGAATCAACAAAGTATCACTTGTGTAAATATGGTTTTGTCCCAGACTATTATGTATGGAATAGACAAGGAGAAAAATCAAGTGGCACCACTTCCATGGAGAGCAATACCAATGTTAGTTTCAACGAAGATCATGAGTGCTCAAATACATACAGAGAAATGATATTTGATGCCGCAGGGCCAGATTTTAGAGATAGATGTATGGATGAAGAGCCAAATCAAGAGGATAAAAAATTCTTTGATTTGTTAAAGGCAGCTGACACGCAATTGTGGCCCGGTTGTGAAGATTTGACACAACTTTCTGCGTTAGCTCAACTGTTAAATATCAAGGCAGAGTATCGCTTACCTGAGCAGTGTTTTGACTCTATATGCCAATTGTTTAAAAAAGGATTACCTAGAGATAATAATATGGTCGATAGCTTTTACAATACAAAGAAACTAATGCGCACACTTGGGTTGCCGGTGGAGAAAATTGATTGTTGTATGCAAGGTTGTATGCTATATTGGGATGATGATAAGGAGTTGCTCCAATGCAAATTTTGTACTTCTCCGAGATATAAACCATCAAATAGTTCTTCATTTAAGAAAACCCTCGTGCCTTACAAAAAAATGCACTACTTGCCACTAACTCCAAGGTTAAAGAGGCTTTATGCCTCACAAACAACTGCTGCGGCTATGAGATGGCATGATGATGATCATGGTCATAATGATGGAGTTATGTGTCACCCTTCTGATTCGGAAGCCTGGAAGCATTTTAATTCCTGCCACCCATCATTTGCGGCTGAAAGTCGTAATGTTCGATTAGGTTTATGTACAGATGGGTTTCAGCCATTTGGGCAATCTGGGCAACAATATTCTTGTTGGCCTATCATCATTACGCCATATAATTTGCCACCTTCTATGTGCTTAAAAGAACCATACATGTTTCTGACCGCAATTATCCCTGGACCAAATAACCCCAAGAACAAATTAGATGTTTTCTTACAACCCATTGTAGCAGAGTTGAAACAATTATGGGGAGAAGGAGTTCTAACTTACGATGTATCATTGAAACAAAATTTCAAAATGAGAGCTGCTTTGATGTGGACAATTAGTGATTTCCCTGCCTACGCTATGCTATCAGGTTGGGGAACGGCAAGTACTAGTAAAACTGCATGTCCGTATTGTAGGGAACAGTCACAAGCATTTAGACTTCCAAATGGTGGAAAGATTTCTTGGTTTGACAATCACAGAAAGTTCCTTCCACAAAATCACCCATTTCGTAGAAACAAAAGTAAGTTCATCAAGAACCGTGTAGAGAAGAGATTTCCACCACCAGTTAAGAGTGGCTCTGAAATTTTAAAGGAAATTGAAGAATATGGGTTACTAAAAGTGACAGAGAGTGATGCAGATGATGTTAATAAGGCATGTTCCAAAGTTTGTGGATGGAGAAAACGGAGTATTTTTTGGGACTTGCCCTACTGGAAAACAAATCTCATTCGGCATAATCTCGATGTGATGCACATCGAAAAAAATGTCTTTGAGAATCTGTTTAACACTATAATGAACATTGAACAAAAGACCAAAGATAATGGAAAAGCTAGAGAAGATTTGAAATTATTTTGCAATCGGAAGGAGTTGGAGAAAAACCCCATCACAGGTAAGTATCCAAAGGCGTGTTATTCATTAGATAAGGATAGCAAACAAGTGATATGTGATTGGGTGAGGAATGTAAAATTTCCAGATGGTTATGTATCAAATCTTGGAAGGTGTGTAGATCTGAGCAAATATAAATTGTTTGGAATGAAAAGTCACGATTGCCATGTCTTTATGCAAAGATTGATGCCAATTGCATTCCGAGAGTTACTGCCCAATAAAGTTTGGGAAACAGTTACTGGTTGAGTCTTTTTTTCAAAAGCTTAACTACAACGGTCATTACGTGTGAAGACATGACAAAACTGGAAGAGGATATTCCAGTTATTATTTGTAAACTAGAAAGCATATTTGTTCCAGGTTTTTTTGACTCAATGGAGCATTTGCCTATACACTTGCCATATGAAGCTAAAATAGCTGGCCCTGCACAGTACCGGTGGATGTATAGATTTGAGAGGTAATACTTGAATGTCAACTTTCAGCGTTTTAAGTATATATAATGAATTATATTTTTCCTTACACTTTTACTGCTTCAAATTAGATTTCTCCATGAGTTGAAAAAGGATGTAAAAAATAAAGCCAAAGTTGAAGGGTCTATTTGCAACGCATACCTAGTTCGTGAAGCATCCATATTTTGTTCTCATTATTTTGAGCCAAATGTACATACACGTAACCGGAAGGTACCCCGAAATGATGACGGAGGAGATACAGAGGGAGATGAAGAAAATCTATTGATATTTACATATCCTGGCAGATTATATGGAAGATGTATAAGAAGAATGTTAAGTGACAAGGAGTACTTAGCAGCACATTCTTATATATTGCTAAATTGTGAGGAAATGCAACCTTTCATTGAGTAAGTTCTATATACTTGTAAAAAATTAGTAAACATTAATATATTTAGTATTTATGTTTTTTTTTTCAATTCAAATTTATAGATTGTACGAGGAGATCTTAAAGGAACTATATCCTGGTATAAATGAATCAGCTCTTGCAGAAGAGATACACCAAAACTTTTCTTCATGGTTTGAGAAATATGTAAGTAATTTTTAATAACTATAAAGAACATAATATAGCTATCACAAAAATTCTTACATATTACTTTATGCTACACAGGGAAGAGAAAATCAAATAGAAAATAAATACATTCGTGATCTTTCGAAGAAGCCGCTGAGAACAGTAAAATCATATCCTGTTTACTTTGTGAATGGGTACAGATTTCATACTGTATCACATGGTGCTAATAAATCCACAATGAATAGTGGTATTTGTATAAATAGTACACATGGTGATTATTATGGAAGATTGCTGGAAATCATTGAAGTTGAGTATCCTGCTTTGCCTATTAAACGGACTGTGTTGTTCAAGTGTGAATGGTACGACCCGACGCCTAATATTGGGGTGAAGATTCACAACAAATACAATTTGGTGGAGATCAATCAACGAAGAAGATTTAAAACATTTGAGCCATTTGTTTTAGCAATGCAAGCTCTTCAAGTCTGTTTTGTTCCATACCCTAGCATGAAGCAAGATAAATCCGATTGGTTAGCGGTGTGTAAAGTACGACCTCGAGGACTGTTGGATTTTCCCATAAAAGAATTTGGGAATACAAAAGATGTTGCTTTTCAAGAACACAAAACTGAAAGAATAGAAATTATTGATGTTACAGATGAATCCCTTGCTTGCGGCACTGGGGTAATTGAAAGTGATGATGATGAAACAGATGAATCCCTTGCTACATTAAGAAGTGATCATGTCGAATATGATGAAACTCTTAATTCAGGGGATGATGTTGACGACGACGATGATGACGAGAAGGATAATGAGCCTGAGTTTGACTCAAATTCGTCTTCAGATGAAGATGAAGATGAGTACGATGAGGAGTATTATAGTGATTAGATTGTAATTAGGACTATATGGGTTTTATATTGGGGCATAGTTTTTTATACTATTAAGAGAAATACTCTCAGACATTTTGTTTTACTTTTATGCTATTCTTCTGTTTTTAATTTAGAATGATACTAGTGTTTTTTATACAAGGCTATGAGGACATTAATATCACACATGTGATTGCTCTATTCAATTTAACAAAACAATTCTAAGGTTCAATATCTATGCATGCATATTTAACTTTTACTAGTATTATAGATTGGGGTTTGTTTGCTTCTAATGCCAATTTTGCAGAAAAGATACTAAACTTATCAATGAGGAGAGGCAGGGCTCAAACACAACGTTATTCACGTGGAGGGCGTACAGGAGCTAGACTTTTGATGGCAACCACATCTCAAACTGTCAATGTACCTCAATCCCATGAACTGCACACAACACCTCAAAGAACAGAACCATCATCTACACAACCATCATCTACACAACCTGTGGTTTCTCCAGTACCATCTACATCCACACCAACACCTCAAGCAGCGACTTGTGCACCCACAACACATACAAGTGAATCAGAAGTACGAAATGAGTCGGTGGCACCCCAAAATATTACATTTGGCAGCAAAGGTCCAAATGGACGCACTTGGATTGGTGTGCAAGATAGGCAGTAAGTTAAAGATATTCGTATACTGAACTTCTGATTGCAGATTTTTTCCTCTATGTTTTTTCTCTACTAAAATTTCATCACTTTCTTTGATATAGATTAGTCCCTTCTGATAAGTGTTCAAGGAGGATTACCAAGCTATTCCATGAAAGAGTAGATCCTATTGGCTATGCCTGGAAATACCTTAGTGATGAAACTGTTATGTTTTATTGGGAGGAGTTCAAAGTAAGTTTTTAAATTAATGTTATTTCATTTCAAGCTCATCGGAGGAGTTTAGTGACTTATTACTGTTATTGTTATTTATAGATTGAGTAAGGAAATCTTTTAAATTCAATTGTTTTATTTCGAACTCTATTTTCTCACATTTAACTTGATTTTATTGCTTTAATATATATACTTGAAATATAGAAACATTTTGAGTGGGACCCAAGAACCACTTCTTTAGTATACATTGCATGGGAAGTAAAAGCCAAAGGAAGGTATGGAGACTACTTATCCAGGATGAAAAACAAAGAGAAGCCTAACTATATTCCATTGGATACATGGAAGAAGTGGAATGAGTTCTGGAATTCTGAAGAAAGTCAGGAAAAGTCACTGCAGGCTAAGAAAAATAGGCGTGGAGGTGATCTAGAGAGACCTGCTCCATCCACACATACCACTGGTTCCATGTCTCATAAAAAAGTTGCTGAACTACTTGTAAGTTCCTTGTGGCCAGTGCAAATCATTGTTGATGTTTTATTTGTGTTGCTATACGTAAGTAGGAACATTTGTTGTTGATAGTAACCTAAAGAAAAAATCACTCCATATAGTGGTATATAAATGAAAGAAAAGATGTATAGTAGTTACGAAGTAGAATATAACATTTATTAATTGTTATTTTACTTCACAAAAGCAGCTCTTATGACTTATGCAGATTGTTACTTGTATACTAAGAATTGTTCTTGAGTGTAGAGTCTTTTCTCCTGTTTAGTTGTGTATTAAGAGGTGATCATGAATGTGATTATAAGGATGTATTTAATTGTTGAGTGTTGATATATATATATATATATATATATATATATATATATGGTTATTCATATTTCTTGTTTAAAGTGCTAGTAAAAAAAGTACTCCGTATAATATATCGATGATGACTTAGATCGGTTTTCAACAGTAAGCATGTAAAAGATATTTGATTTGAGGGCCTTTATTGTTGCATGTTGATATATATATTTCATTGTCCATAGTTCTTTAATTTGCTTTAACGTTTAAGTCGTAAGAAAGTATAAACATATTGGTGATGACTTACTTAAACTGGTTTGTAGCAGTAAGTTTGTATAAGATACATGATTTGGAGTCGTTTATTGTTGCATTTTAACAAGGAAAATATGGCATATTCAGGGAAACTATGTCATTTTTAATTGTTATATTTTTAATGTAATGTACACTATATTAAATGGATACTGTATATGCAGAAGCGGAAAAGAGGACGCACGGTGACGTTTTATGAATTATTCACCTATACACATACGATTAATCACGATGAGGAAACGTTTATTGGTGAAAAGGCCCAAAAAGTTCATGTAAGTTTTTTATTTGAATGAGTTTGGTTGAATGAATTCAATTAGCAATACCATGTTTTACATGTGCGTCTATGTTGTGTTATATACTGATGATAGCAATTATAAACTATATACATACTTATATACTATGCAGGATGAAGTTGAGTTACAGCGAGAGTTTTTGTCTCAAGCCGGAGAGAATGTGAATGATAATGAAATATACTATGAATCTGTTGGAGGACATGACAAGCAAGGAAACATTTATGGATTGGGTTCGTATGGCAGTTCAGTCCCTATTCCAGGCAATTCTTCGGAGGCACATACAACTAGTGAGCAGTCACAAAATGCTGATGTTGAGAATATGAAGAATGAGATCCATGAGTTGAAGAATGATGTGAAGGATGCTGTGGCTTATATTCGTGTTTTGGAGAAGCGAATCAATGATATGGATAATGGGAGGAGTGCAGGGATTTCATGAAAGCCAATATAATATTCATTCATCTACAAATAGTTTAGTTTTTATATATTTGCATGACGTTTAGTAAAGTAGAACTTGTTGCATTGATTTGTTGATACATTTTAGTAAACTTTATTGTATTTAAATGACAACCTTTTTTGCGATGAATATGAGTATTTCATTATTTGTTTCAGTGTAAATATATTAGAATTTTAATTATAGATTTCTATTTGTATATGAATATAATTTGCAATGATAATAAACATTTCTTTTACTGTCGAAAATATGATCAAAATTCCTAGTAAATTTGCGATGGATATGGCGATAGAAATTAATTCCGTTGTAGCATCTAACCATGGTAAAAACTGCATAATAACGACAGATTTAGCTACGAAAAAGTAATTCATCGTCTTTGTTTTAACCATGGTTGACAGGACATGTGCGACGGGATAGCAACAGAATGTTATCATTGCAAAGAGGCTACCCCTTATTTCTATAGCTAATTCTGTCGTGTGTATTTGCGACTGAATAATTCTGTCGGGACTCAAATCGCTACAAAGCTGGGGGCTTCGGATACAATTCTGTCGCAAATCCGTCGTGAGTTAAGTTTTGCTACGGAATTTCGATGTATTGCGACAGAAAATTCCGTCGCCATTGCCATGTTTTCTTGTAGTGGACCGGACTACCGGAGGTAAAAAAAAAGCATTGGTCAATTTCCGAAATTTTTATCATTGATAAAGTAAAGCTAAAATAGGTAGTGTGTAGGAAGCGTATATAGTACAGCCGGCTGTACGGTGAGAACCGTACAACCGGTGGCATTTTTGTAATTTACATGAAATCCGCGTCTTGTACTAAATGAGCATTAAAACACGTCTAATGAGCATGTGACATATTTTGTTGAGCATTACACGCATAACAATGAGCATCGTGATCTCTGTTCATCTCTTCTAATTTACTTTCTTTTCCTTGTTTTTTTCTAAACTTTTGAAATATGCATTGTTATGCCATTTTACAAATGAGCATAACATGAATCGCCGTTGAGCATACATAACTTATAAAGTGAGAATTGGTATTTAACATGTGCAACCTTTTAAAATGAGCATAAAACAGTAATAAATGAGCATACATAACTTACAAAATGAGTATCAAAATATTAAAAAACTCATTTGTGTGTGCTCATTCATTTTGGACGTTATAATCATTTGAGTTTCACATAAAACTCATTTTGAAATATGCATGAATATGACATTTTAAAATGAGTATTGCACTAATATCAAATGAGTATACATTAATTACGCAATGAGCATTCAAAAAACTCATTTCAAATGTCTACTATGCTCATAGTTTCATTTGTTATACTCATATCATAAATGAGCGAACTCCCTCACCAAACTTGGGTAAGAAAAACAGAAAAAGGAAGAGTCCAGAGCAAGAAAGAGGGAGAAGAAGCAATTAGGGCTATAGACCAGGAGGAGCCGCCACAGAAGTCGCAGCTCAAGCCAGAGTTTGAGGTGTTGAGCTCGTGCTGGAGGTCGTGGCTGTCGATCTGTGAACTACGATGTAAGCCCTGCGAACTGCGATGGAAGCCTACAATCTGCGATGGAAGCCTGCGATTTGCGATGGAAGCCTGCGATTTGCGATGGAAGCCTGCGATTTGGGAAATAAAATGCCGGCTGTACCGTGCGCACGGTACTGTAAGGAATAAATGTAATTAGATTTTGATGATGCTATAGGATTAGAAAGTTAGAGTACCCCCAATTAGATTTTATGTATTAGAATTTTCATTTGTAAGCATTAGTGTAGTCGACGATCAGAGTTGCTCTGCTTTGGATCAGATCAGGAGTGCATCAGAATTGCTCGACCAGACTTGCTCTATGAGAACTGCTCGATCAGAGTTCTCTTACCAGAAGTCCATCAGAGTTGCACCATGAGAGCTGCTGATAGATTTGGACATCTGATAACCGATGAGAACTACAGATCAGAGGTACTCATCAGCGGATCTATCAGAGTCAGAGTTAGAGATCAGAAAGCCATCAGAATTCAATACTTCAGAAGAGCCTGATCAGAGCCCGACTAACACTTAGAAGATTTCAAGCAACATCCAACAGCTATGAATCCAACGGGTAAAATCATCCAACGGCTAGAAGACTGTGCATGAAAGGAAAGCATTTAATGCACAATAAATGAGCCTGATACGCTGAAGGATTGATTGCAAATGATTGACCAAGGAATCCGGGAAGATATATTATAAAAATAGAAACCTTCCAAAACGGCGGTCAAGTCAACTGTACGCGCATTTAATGCAGTTGTCTCCTCCTCCAACGGGCAGACAACCTCAGTATATAAGCTACACACCGAAGAACAGAAAAACTACCTTTAGCCAAGAACTTTTGCTCCAATCACTGAACATACTTCTTGAGATTCAATCTTCATAACACTCTACAAGAAAAGTCCTACGTTGGGAAGATTCAAACTCCAAATCTTTCATCCCCAACAACGAGCAAAGTTCATCCTATTCTTCAACTCTTCAAGAACTTCATCAAACATCATTTGTGACGAAGCAAGTTGGAGGAAAAACTTTGTTTTTCAAAGGATCTTCTGAAAAGAAGGGCGTCCAAGTAACTGCAGTAGTGAAGTGGTGATACTTCCGGGAAGCTGAGTGAAAGGACCAGCCATCAGGACGTGGAATTGCATCCTGGGTGGCATCTAGACTTGAAGAAGACGAGGAGTGCTTCTTAAGTGCTAGGAATTAGCTTTGTAACCGATCTACTTCAAAGCTAGTGGAACAGTGGACTAGAGGAACGCGTTGTTCCTTGAACCACTATAAAAATATCCGGTGTCATTTACTTTACTGCAATTTTTTTTTTTTTTTTGCACTTAGGATATTAACTGATTAACTCTTAGACTGGGGATCTGTGTTCACCAGATCTTGTTTTCAGAGTTATCAGAAAGGCATTTGCCTTAGTGTTTCAGAGGCTACCCGGACAGATCAGAATCCGCTGCCAAGGCCAGTTCTGTTATCAGAACCAGCCTTTCTCTGTCACCAGAATCAGACATTCTCTGATAAGTCATTTTGGACTTAGAGAAAATTTGAAAACCCAATCAGTCTATTCACCCCCCCTCTAGACTGATTACCATATTAAACGGGACCAACAAGTGGTATCAGAGCCTCCTTGTTCTTGTAATCTTTTAGGTTACTCTCTGAACAAAGATCCACTTATTTCCAGCCTCCTTATTTATTATAATGGATAATTCTCTTGCAAAGCATCTTATGTTCACAGATCAGAAATATGATGATTGGAAGATCAGAATGAAGGCACATCTGTGTGCTCTTCATGATGAAATGTGGGAAGTCTTGGAAAATGGACCCTTTATCCAGTTCATGAAGATCAATCCTGTTCACTCTATTGATAACTCTCAGCCCCAGATGATTGAGAAAGCCCGGTCAGAAT